AATTGAGAAGAAAAAACTTACACAACCTAAAAACAAATATATATTTAGCTAAACATTTGGCTCTCCAAAGCAAATTAAAATCTTGGGTATAAAGTTTACAGAGCAGAATGCATAAGTGAGTGTGAAGCACTGAAACAAAAAATGTGAGAACTGAGTGTGAAAAGAAAATTGACTATGACAGCTTTAATTGCTGTCATACTATCAATACTGATAAAGTGAATTTTTAGTTTTTAAATGGAGCATGTAGCATCTAAAGGGGAAAAATATTACCTGTGGAAATTATGGGTTCCTTGACTACTGTTAACTTATTTAGCATAGCAAATAAAAGCATTAGAGAATAGTTACACAAGGTTTGTCTTTCATTTGCACTATAAATCACGAGTGAGAGATGAAAGTCTCTCTTCCTAAGCTATTTCATATTCTCAGAGAGAACAATTGAAAAAAAAGAGAACGAAAGATACTATTATACAGTTGCTGGTAGTAACGATAACCAACATGCTTATCATAAATAACAAAGGTTCACTTCACAGATCTAAGAACACAACCCAGACAAAAGTATAAAGGACAGCCAGTGTTGTAATTTGATTAGCCTTACAGATTTACAAAGCAAGTTTCATCTTCAGTCTCAATTTGACATTTAAAAGAATGCTTAAAGCAGTTTGGTTTTGCAACTGCCACTTTTAGAGTGCTTTTCCATGGCGAAGTCTAGCCAGCTTCACACATTTCCTCAAGCACTAGCAACTAGAAGACCAGGTTCTATAAATAACAGGTTTTATAAGCTAAACAGTTAAATCTCAAGAACAATTCTAGTCATAATGGGTTTTAGTTTTAGCTCTTCACTGAAATGGAGACATCGTTTCTCTCTCAACCAGCACGAACACTAAACTGCTTTTAGTAGTGAATACCACTTACTAATAATAAATACTTTCCTATGAATATGGAAGAAGAGAAGAAAGAAAATCCAAAGTGTATTTTGTTTTCTGTTCTTTTTAGAAGGCTTAGGAAGTCAGGAAACATATAGGACTGATTACTGCTGCTTAAATATGTAATCTGGTAGACTGCATCGACACACATTGTAACAGAACACATTCAGATCCAAATGCTCTCAAGTATACAACATGCTCTAAAACAGATAAATGTAAACTTTTCATATAGCTTTACATATTCACTAGATTTCAAAAATAAAGGGCTTTTTGTCTGATTTATAGTCAAACTGTCCTCCTCAGTTTCTAGCAATCGCTTTTGATCTGACTGGCTAATTTCAACCTGGCAGAAAAAAGTGGGGTTTGGCCACAGCTGTGTGCAGGGAAGGTGAAAAAGGGACACTGCTACATAGTGCCCCATGGAGGAAACAGCTTCAGTGACTGTTCAGTCACCAGTATGGCTGCCAGGTGGCCTGTCAATAGACCAGAAGCAATCCAAACCTTGTGCTGCCTCTTGCCCTGGTATCATTTAAAGAGCCTAGGATGGAACCTGCTAAGTTAGGTGAAAGAAAGGATCGAAAAAGGAAATCAGGCATCATATTTAACTTTTCGAGAAACAACTTATGTTTTACTAACATCCATACATAAGAAAAAAAAGTTTTGTGTTTATTTGTACTTTACAAACAAAAAAATTCAAAAACCATTAAGTCAAGCAAATATTTACAATCACGCAACACTTTCACTTGCTTCATTCAGTGGCTAAGATGGTGCCATTCAATGAATATGTTCAATATTTTTTTCTCATCTCAGAAGATGGATTACAGTTTCATTTACTACACATTATTTAAATTTTACACTGAGGATGCCAAGTGTTACTTTCCAATGAGCATCTATACATTGTTCATGGACACAGTATGAGTGCTTTCTCAATGGTAATGACCCTATCCTCACAGCATCCTCACAACTAACAGCTCTGTTATTCCCATTTTACAAACTGAAAATAGAGCTGCAGAGAGGTTACTGAACAATGACTATCAGTTTTGAAGCAGTTAAGGTCAACTTTTTTCCCCCTGAATACTACATACCATATAAAGCTACTTGGGTTTGAAACAGCTCTTCTTGAGTTTGGTAAAAGCTATGAATGCTAGTCACTTTTGCACATCAAACTCGATATCCTGACACCATGAACACACAATTATAAACAGCTAGAGAGTTTATAATACCAACAGAAAGAATTGCATTAAACTCATTTGAACTCCGGCATAACATGGCAGTACAAGGTTTCCCCAAATTTAATCCTTTTTGAACCCCTTTTCAGGAAATGGGAAAAAAAAGCCCATTTAAAAATACTCAGTGACAAGAAGCTATTTATGTTTAGTAATGCATTCCAGTGATTAATTAGTCCAGTAAGACCATCCCCTTATTTGAAGTCTGAACTTGCTTAATTCAGCTTCCAACCACAGAACAGTGGTGTACCTTTGTCAGCGGAAGAGGAGGTTGCTTTTATCAAATACCTCTTCCTCAAGTAGGTACATATTGACTAATGAAGAAACCCTTAACATTTCCTTAGCTAAACTAAACAAAGTAAGCACCTGATGTCTTAATTACTAAGACTGCTCTCCCCTTCTCGCAGTCATTTTCAAGGCTGTTCTCTGGAAGCTGATTTTTCACCATCCTCCCTGGAGTGTTAACACCAGATGTACTGCTCCAGTAACAGTTATAGCTAAATAGATAATACACAACCTCCTTATTTCCAATTCCCTTGCTCAACTACTCAAAGTTTTTCACCAGACCTTTTAGCTACAGCCAAACAGATTGACTTCAAGTTTAACTCCTATGAGTCATCAACTCCAAATCTTTTTCAGAGTCTCAGACTGAGTCCCCCTACTTGTATTTAGTTACCCAACTCAGTATTTAGTTGCACTGATTCTGCCATGAAATGTGTTACATATTGTTTCATATGTTCAATTTATTAGTGATCTAAATCACTTTGCAACCTTAATGTTCTTTTAGTCCCAAGTTTATATTTATGATTTTCTAGGTAAAAGTAAAAACATCTGAAATAATTTCAACACAGTTATTTACAATGAGAACCTTGTATACTCTGTAACCGCAAGTAGCAGAGTTTAATGCAATGTATGCAACAGCAGACTTACCTCTAGTATGCACCAACATATGCAACTTGCAGATGCATAACACACTCTGATGTTGGATTTTGCATGTTACTCATACACAGCCTTGCCTAGGGATCTGTGTTTGCAAGAACCCAAATCTCTAGCCAGGGCCCTCCTAGAATTCTTAACTAATAGGAGTTACTACAGGTTATTTTGTAACATAAAATTTAACAAATCTTTAAAATACTCCATAACTAACCCACAAGCAATGTGTGTTAAAGACAACGATAAATGAAAATACACTTGGATTTCCATTGAAAAAATTGATAAACCTAATCAATAGATGCTTAAAAAAATATACAAGCTTTCAACCTGTGTATTTACCTGTAATTACACAGATCTTAAAGACTTTATTTAAAAGGTAAGATATCTCATGGACCAATTCAAAAAGACAGAGCTGTGACCAGAGCACAAGTTCCTGCCGAAAATCCCAGAACTCCTTAACAAACTGTTCACAGTGAGAAACAAGAACAGGCCAGCACACCAGTTATCACAAATGCCTCAAAGCAAATACGTTAGCTTTAACGTAATGGAAACCTTTAAACATTCAAGCTTTATCTTCTTCTTACATAGGATGAATTAGAATCACAATCTTAGGCTACTTCATATTGTCCAACTGTAAGACTTCTGTGAATATCAACACTGTCCCTCTGACTCTAAGGAGGGCAGCAGCCTGAACCGTCACAGGCTCCAATCCAGCTCAGCTTCACCATTTTAATGAAGGTGGAGGGGGGAGGAGGGGGTGTCTAAGGGAGAAGAAAGTAGAGAAATAGAGAAAAATAGTATCTTCCCATAAAACTTCTCCACTTTTTCAAAGGACTGCATAATATTTTCCCAAAATATGAGAGTGTACATACTTATACACAATTCTTTCCCGGCTTTTTAAAGCACTACAAACATTACTGGGTGCACTAACTAGGACGTTATCTTTTGTACCTGAACTTTAAAAGCACTTATGCAGGGTTTAATATTCTCCATCAAAAGTCTTTAGAAATTACACGGCAGAAGGAAATCTGTTCCTCTAAAGTTAAGTCATCCAGTTCCACAGCTCTGATGTGTGTATTTCTGGTATGATAGTTGCTGTGACCTCAGGAGTGTCAAAGGGAAAAAGGCCGCACCAGTCTTACTCAACAAGTAAGAGTTTCTCTCTTACACTGGAGTGATGAGAAGGTTACCCATACTAGGAAATACTTTAAGAGTTGAATCTCAATGACATCTTTTGAGTTGATATGATCCTCCGTGGATCATATAATGAAGGAACACAAACATACACACATTTATACAGCTTACATCTTTTAAAGCACTTTTCAATCAGTTCCACCCAGTCCCTGCATTAAGTGTCCGTGTCTTCCTTTGTATTTTATGGGCAAGTCCACAGACAAGGATTTGCTGAGCTGTTACCTTCCTTTCTGCATTAATTAGCATACATTATCAGTCCCAAAAGGAAATTATGCTGCTCCAGAGCATAAGGCACCTATAAACTTAAGTAGAAGGGATAGGTAGAAAAAGATCTTCACCTGGTCAGAGTATGTACTAGTTAGAGTAAGCATTGCATTAGAAGGGAACCATCAGGGTAAGCAATATTTAATGGCAACAAAATAAAATACAAGATTTAAGAAAAAAAAAAAATAGAAAACAAAGCACTGAAACACAGCTGGAGAATCTTGTAAACCCTTATTGGAAGTCCTAAATAAAAAAAAAATTAAAAAATAAATACAACAAAAAACATCAAGCAGAACAGTTACTGTTCCCCAATTCCCCAACTATTTTCCAACTAGTACCTGCTTGAAGATTCCTGCCAGAAGCTTTTTCTGGTTTTCATCTTCCTGTCATTTTCATTCTTCTCAGATTTTATTACTTGATACTGTTAAGGCAAAAGCTTAAGAAAAGAGGAAGAACTTACTGGTATTGAGAACTCCTCTGCCAAATACTTCAACACTGATGCTCCTCTAGCCAAAAAGTTACTTCTCTCTGCCAGGTTGCCTTGGAGTTGTGTGTCAAACTCCTTTCTGACAACTGAAGCAACAGAGTCAATTATTATGAGTTTAACTTTCTTTGAAATAATTTCTTCTTCCAAAGACATAATCCTAAAAAAGAAAAAACAACAAAAACCCCAGTCATTGATAACATTATTTACACAATAGAACCATTTTATAACCCTGAAATTGTTTAAATAAATGGTTTACTTTAATAAGCTGAAAGTCAGCCCCTCTTTTTCCCCCCTCACACACGACCTCCATTAACATCTGCGTGTGTTGAAGAGATTTGGAAAGGAATCTGAAACATAACCCAAGGCAGGACCTCTCCAAAAGATAGGTTTGAAAGAACCTCTAGTTAGGTACACTATGCTGTACATCCCCTGAATGGTAGACAGCAAGTTAAGTGGACATTGAAACTGTGCCTTTTTGCCCACAGTAGCAGCATCCCATTGCCAGCACCAGAATCCTTGGTGCACATAATGTGCAGAAGGTCAAATCTATTTCCATATACTTCCAAAGACAGTATGCCAAACCTAACGTGTTGATAATATGCTACTAGCTGTTCTCTGATAAAGCTGCACCAGAAGCAACTATTCTTAGAATAATTCTCCCACTAACATAAAATACACAAGATGATGCTAATATATAACTTAATTCATTTTCACTGCAAAATGTGTTCACAAATTAATATAAGGTAACAACATGACAATACAAAACTGCCAACAGAGGCATTCTGGCTGATGACTGTTAAATGATTCCTCCCTCCCACTGCTGGAGGAGTCCCAGTCTTCCTGGAAGTAAACTGTGCTTTGGAGGAGCAAACTCCTACTTCTTGGAAAATGTAACTCTTATACTATGGCCTCTCCACAATCCAAGATAAGATAAGACCTGTCACATGAATACTCCCCTTTAAAGGCTTACAGGGATCGGATCATATAGAAATTGTCTATCAGAAATTAGAAAGCATCAACTGGATTAGTCACATGCTATGAAATGAGAAGAACAATGTCAGTCTTCCTGTAGCAATTTTACTTTGCTGGGGACCATGCTGTTATCAACATGAAAAGGCCTCAAATAAATGAATTATTCTCCATAGAACTTTGATATAAAACAAATATTGTTATAGACAATCCAGTCAAAATGGTCTTTTTTTTTTTTTAAACTCTGGAAAATACCTCTTCAGTACACTGCCACAAGTCAGCTCTCGATACAGATGAATGCTACGGGTCATGCAGAACAGCTTTTCATCTGAGTCAAAATAAGTAGGGAATCTGTTTCCTGCTATCTCAATCAACCTATCAAAAAAAACAGAAGGTGTAACGCTGCAAAAGCAATAATGTGGGATAGTAAGGCATCAAGTATTCACAAAGCAAACAAAACAAACCTTTGAATGATAAGCAGATACAAAGTAATACTGGAAATCTTTTTCAAAGGAGAAGCATACTTTAGAAGTCTGAAATACTGGAACTCAGTGATGCTAGAGTCAGTGGTATACGAGGGAAAGACATAATGTGTCTGTACACAAAGAAACAAAATTATCTCCTGTAGAAGGAAACCGCAAAGTTTACGGTTACTGAATGCAAAGTTCTTTGAGTTTTGTACAAGAGGTTCCACTCAATGGCCAAGCATTCTCCTATTTTAAATATTATATGTAAATATTATTTTCATTTAAACAAATACACTCTCCAACTCAAACCATCTTCTCTTCCACCTTTATCTTGCAGTGAAATCAAAGTGGACCTTGTGTCACCACAGAAATTTAACAAGCTGATATCAAACAGAAGATCCATTACAAGATCCAGCCAACATGGAAGCAGGACTGCAAAGAACAAAGCCCAGTTCGACTGCAAGTACTTACACAAGCAGTACATGTATGGGAAGCATGCCAAAGTGAAAATCTTTTCACAGATAATCTCTCCTTTTTGCTGAAACCACGCTGAAATCACTTTTTTGCTGAAACCACTTCCATTGTGCCAGTTACCTCTTTGTAAAAAGAGCTTATAAAGTCTTAAGAAAATATACTTTTCAGAACATAGCAAAAAAAAAAAAGAAAAAAAAAATCAGCATTGTGTCACAAAGCGACTGAGGCTCCAGCTGCCAGGCGGCTACAACTGAACATCCATCCATTCAGATAGCACAGGTACAACTGGCATGACTTGATATAATGAAATGACTAAACAGTTTAAGTGGCTGCTTCACTGATAGAACTGAATGAGGGATTCCATGATTAAATGTTCTCCATTACCTTATTAGCAAATTCATGACCCTTCAAAACCTTGAATTACAATTGTTAAGCATACCACTGTTTATTATCAGAGTACACTAGGGAAGCATATCAGATAACTGGTGATAACACTAAAAGAAGTCAGAGGAAGTTGGATATTTATTATTTGTTGTCAAAATACTTTTATATTCAGAAACTATGCTTTGAAAAAACCTCTTGCACGTGAAACTAAGCAATTTACTGATGAGAAGCCAACATTTTCAGTTAAATGAGATTTTATACATAAAATCATTGAGGACACTAAATGGTACACGTTTTAGAAATGCTGACTGCCTGCAAACTCTTTGGAAGTCAGTGGAAAGAAGTTCCACCCCTCTGAATACAAGGCAATTCTATCTAGGCCCTTAAATAAATGTTCCAAGAATTTAACTTAGAAACTCATAGTTACAACCTGAGTACCGTAATTTTTTTTCCACAATGAAGATTTTATTTTTTAATAACAGAAAATACTTAATTGTTTGTATTTTAAGCAGACATATCCCACCACCTATAGCTTGAGAAGAGTGGCATCTAGTGGATGATACCTGTGGGCACAACTTACTGGTTATCTTGATGCTTTTTATTTAGGCCCCTTTCATTAAAACCCAAAATGTTAAAGCTATTTTAGAAAAATTCTTTTAAATCAGTTTTATTTGGTTTAGAAATAGAAACACTAAGCTTGAATGTTAATATACCTTTCCTGAGCAAGCAATTTCACTATAATAGCCTGAATCTCATTGATTAGATACATTGTTTATTACATCTAAACTTGTCCTGCAGAACTTCCAGGGACAGAATCTTGTCTTTCCATTTGCACAATTAATCATGCAGACCATTCGGGCAACAGTGATCTGTCATTCAATGGTCTGCATGAAATGAGATTTCAGTACACTTCCTAAAAGACATGCATATCGCAAAGAACATCATTACACAGACTGACTTAAAATGACACAGCAAAATCTTGCAGAGATCGCAGTACTATTCACAGAGCTCCATGCAGGTTCAAAGGTCTTTAAGATCTAAATCCTGTTTGTCATGATGAGACCAAAAATTGCACAGAACATGTTTCTCTGCAATCACAGCAGAGGCCCATGAGGTGGAAAATCTGTTTGTTCTCAGTTTTGGTTTACAGCAATTTGTATCTAGTGTTTTTCACAAGCAATAAGTATGGCTAGAGAGAAAAGCAAACCAAACAAATTATCTTCAGACTTTTTAAATAAGTCTGATATGTTTTCAGTTAATAGCTGGCTAGAGTTAAATTGAATTGCTACAAAAATGATGACAACAATTTTGATTTCCAGACTTACTACGGCCATTCTATCTACCTGTCCTATTGTCCGTGTTCTGACAAAGCTGAATGATGGACACCATCTGCACTGTTATGGCTTTCTCTTCCACGAGACAAAAAATATATAAATTACAGAAACCAGTGGCATATCTTAGAAGACCAGCCTCAATTCTGATCACTCTGCTCAGCATTGCTATTAGATTGAACTAAACTGTCATGTTAAAGAATAAGTAATAAGACTATGAAAGTGTGTGGAAGCAAAAAGCTCACTGCCCTGAAGTAAGACCTGCCAGGCAGAATGACAAAAGAGAAGTGCCTTTCAGCAAAAGAAAATTAGCCAGCTTTATGCAGTATCCTTCTAGAAGCAGCACCGCATTACAGCCAGTATGACAGCTACAACTTAGCAACTCTCAGCCCTAAAAAGCAGCAGGGATACAAACACTCTTCTCAGGCTTTCTGTAGAGGCTTTTGAGTTTTAAATAAAAATCGTGCCAGCTAAATGTCTCCATTAACCCCTTTAAAATAAGTTGCTATTAAATTAATATTTGCCCTCTTATCTGAAGTGTTTAGAACAAAACCACAATCTCTTCTACTTGCCATCTATTAATAGTACAGGATTACAGAATCATAAGAAAATTCAGGTTAGAAAAAGAACTCAGACCTCCAGGCCAACATCCTGTTCAAAGTAGTGCCAGCTATGAAGTCAGAACAAGTTACTTGAGGCTTTATCTAGCCATATTTTGGAAGCCTCCAAGGATGGAGGCAGCACAACCTCTCTGGGCAACTTTTTCCAATTGCTGACTGTCCTTTGGTGAAAAAGCTTCTCCATGTATCAGCACAGAAATGGATTTCAATGTATGCCTGCTGTCTCCCTGTCATGCACCACTATGCCATCTTCTTGATGGCCTCCTCATTGGTAGGGGAAGGCTGCTGTAGATCCCCCCAGAGCCTTCTCTCCTCTAGACTGAGCAAGCCCTCAGTCTCTCCACAAAGGGCAAGTGCTCCAGCCCCCAACCATTCTGAACTCCCTGCAGTTTGTCATGTCTTTCTCACACCGAGAGCCCAAAACAGGACACAGGATCTAGATGTAGTCTAACAGGTACCAAGTAGAAGGAGATAAGCACTTCCCTCACTCTGCTGGTGCTGCTCCTTCGAGGTTGCAACACAGAAAGTATAAGATACAGCTTGTCTGCTGAAATTGTGTTCCGCTATCATTTCCAACTGAACAATACTAAATATGATTTAATACATAAATATTAAATATAAATACATCCTTAGTAATAATGTTATTTTTACACATTTCCTTTCCAATCCTACTCTATTTTCAGCAGTTTCATTTTCACATTCACCTGTTTTCCTTCTCTTTAGCATTCGCTTCTAAGCAACAAGCCTTAACTCACCCATTAGGTCCTACCCTTTTTTTTTTACTATCTACATTTCAGTGACCTGAAATAAAAATTAAGTGGTATGTAAGAAGGAAGCACCATACTTTGCAGCGCCATTGCTTGAAGCTTTTTTTCTTTGATATATTACACTTCTGGTTTAAAGTAATTCAAACTTTTATGAAATTAACTTGACAAAAAACAGGGTTAGAAACCCACCTTCTCATCCACGATAACTTCAAATGATTAAACAATGCAAATACATTTGCTTTGATACTTAGGCCATGGGCCTAAGTCAGTCATCTGAAATATATATATTTCAATGAGCCCTTTTCCTGCCCATTTTTCTACACAAACAAGGATGAGACTACTGTACTCCTCATCCTCCCCCAGACCCTTAACGTTTGAACTCACTAATTCTAAACAACAGTGACAAAGGAATAGACATCTCAAAAACATCAAATCCTCATGGTCTAAAAAAGTTGGTAGCTAAGTAAATTAGAGCTACCTTTAATGAAACACTGCAGAATTATTTCAACAGTTAATCAGTCAGTTAACATGGGAAGAGTGGTAACTAACACATGCATATCTCTAACTCTCAAGCAGATACAGCATATAGAGTCTCCTGTGCATTCAGCAGTTAGAATATATCGTAAGTGCATAGCTGAACAGTTTTGGTCACATGGGCAAAGCAGAAGATATTGGAAGAACTAGAGATATTACAGATGTAAGGGAATATAGTACTGCATGGCCACTAAGGATATAGGAGAGATGTGAGGTTACTGCAGAAGGAAATAGGAAGTGCAGGAGAAGGACAGGGGGCCCCACTCAGCAGAAATAGGACAGAAATCTGAAGGAAAACTGGCTATGTCAGTCCTGCTGTTCACAGAAAAATCTCCATTTCCTTTGTGCTCAAAATGCTGGGCTTTTACATCCTCAAAACCTTCCTACTAACTCCACAGACTAAACTGCAAAGATAGATTTCAGGTACAGGATTGTTAAGACCATTTATAAGTTTAGAGAGCGCGCCATCCACCTCGTCATACCACAACTGGAATCTGCAACATCATACAAATTAGGAAGGTGAGCAAACCATTCTATTAAATTAATTTCATCATCTATGGAATAGCTGCATATATCAGATGAATGTTTAATACCTGCCATAGGTATTTACTTTATAAATGCTTAGTTATTGTTCAGAAAATAATTGAAGGCTCCAAGGTAAAAGGTGCTAAAGAAGTTGCAAGTGTGTATTTTAGAATTTTGCATCTTACCTTTCAGCACTGAACGCAGACTCTGTGTCAATGTATATAACAGCCCCATCCAGTCCTCCCATGCTTACAGGCAGTGTAGCCAGAACACTCACCATAATACAAAATTGAGTTTTGCCACAACCTGGTGGGCTAGTTATCTGGAACAAAAAAAGATGAGTAACATAAACAAGAGACACCACATTCATTTCACCCTGATTCTACTTTTAAGTAAGACCCATCATCCAGAACTCCTCAAATTCTCCTCTTCCAGTTACCAAAGGAGGAGACAGCCACAAAAAGATAGAATGCAGCCCACAAGGAGCAACTTGCAGTTACTCTTGGATCTGTGCCTTGCAGTCAAACTCAGCCACTGAAGAATAAATAGTTCTTCTTCAGACACAGCATTATGCTTGTACTTTATTCCTTTGACATCCTTTATTATGTCTCATATTTGAGGTCCCCTACTCTCCCCCTCCTCTTACAAGATATTCCCTAGTGCCACACCTAGTTCTCTTCCATCTCCTTCTCTGTGCTACCTTCTAAAATAGAGCAGAATTAGAAGATTCAGAGTTGACATTCACATGACATCAATGGCCTTTAGAGCTGAAAACAAAGTCCAGAGCTAATGAGTTCATAGATGTAAATGACTGCTTAGGAATCACCATTACCTTGGTAACAACCAGATCTCCCTTGGAAATCACAAGGATAATCACTTATATCCTGTAAAGACTGAATGTTCAATATGAACCACATATATACATCAGACAGATTTTATCTGCCCCAGAGACTACACTCTTCTATGCAGCATGTGTTTTGTCATTGGTGTTAACTCCCTATTACCATATTTCAACACGACCACCATTTAATGATCCAGACCAGCTTGCCAATTTTAAGCTTTCACCTGCGCTTAACTGAAAGCCTACTGCGGTTAAGCAGTATTCAAAAAGAGCACACTCAACTCAATTGTGTGAAATGGTTCCAGTACGATTTTGATCCAAGAGAAAAACCACAAGGACCAAAAGAATACAGTGTTTGACAAGATCCCCTGTTTCCGCGAGCAAGATTTTTCTGTTAGAGACGGCAGTATGCTGTTCTTCATCCACTGCAGATCTTGCAGAGATTGTAAATGAATGCTGGGCTCTGTGTTCAGATAATCATATGTTCATTACTACTACAGTGGGTCTTTAAATACAATATCACATTGTCACTGCTTCTGGGAAGGGAAATGATGATATCTTAAATACTAAGAGAGCTGAAAAACAGCAAATACAAAGTTTAAGTGACTTTAGGCACTAAAACCAGAGTGTGATGGGTTCATTCTGATGCTAGTATGGACTAAACAATAATGCATGATAAAAGTAAGCCTCTCCAGGGAAGTTAAATGGCAAAATGACACTTACCTCCTCAAAACACCTAATAGTGCCAGAACAAAGGCTTCAATACAGATCCGTTGTTTTAAATTAAAAAAGAAACCTTACAACAGACAGACACTCAAAATCAAACTGATTTTTGAGCCTAAATGCACAACAGTTTGTTTTTAAGTACAAACACCCTTTTACCACAAGATACTACAGTATCGCTATGGTTTCATTTTAAGCAGCAGCAGCATGACTTGAAGCACAGAAAATTTACAGGGAAACACTGAGGGAGTGCATTAGCTACAGTTACACATTAGCTACTGTTAACAGTTGGTTAAAATCCCCAGAAGACTTTTGTCTTTAAACAAGGCCTGAAAACCAAGCCATATCAGTCAATCTCCTTGAAGCTCTAATACAAAAGAAGCATTAGATGATTTTTGTTTAGAAGAAGATACTGCATTTAGTGACTTACAGATCAGGAATCAGTCATATTTATGCAATTACCTGTCCTCCATCCAGTGTACTTAAATTACAAAATAGCGTATCAACAATAGCTGCCACATTTTAATATGAACCCAAAGCATATATAAAAATTGCAGAGGCAATACACATTCCTTAGACTGTGATAACCAAGGAATCTCACCAGCTGTTTCTAGTTAAAAAGAAGACTTGAAATGAATGAGGGGAGGGCATCAATCCAGTTGTTAAATTAAAATGTTTGGACAACTGTGAGGAGACCTCAAAAATGTTTGCAGTTTCAGCCTTGCCTGGGCGGTGCACTGGAATCAACATTTATTTCAGTGGCTGATGCAGGAGCTAATTCAGCAGAGACGCTGTAAAAATGTCTGAGGATACGAGCATCGTATCAGAGAAAGACAGGGAATCTTGCAGTACGAGCTAGTACTAGGAAGCAAGCCAATGGAGCAAGAGAGACTTTTTATTCCCAAAGACAACAATACTTCATCTTTTATCAGCATTCCTTTAAAGGGCATTAAAATGGGAATTCAAATCCACAGTGAACAATTTTAAAGGACTACCACATTTTGCTGTAGTTAACCACTGGTGCAGCAAGTGTTTTGAACAATACAATCTTAGTTAAAAAAAAAACCCTAAAATTCCTCTAATATAATTTGAATCAAATGTCTGCAAAAAGTTTGCTTAGTTTGTTTTACTCTAAATTTGCTCCAAAAAAGAAAAAAAATCAAGTCCACCCAGATAGAAATGTGAAGACTACTACAGTTTTTAATTTGTCTCTGCCTAATAAAATATACTTTTATTTTTCAATAAGCTATATATTATTTTCTCTGGCACATCTGTAGGGTTTGGATGAAGTCACAAGACGCTAATTCTTCTTCAACTACCAGGGGATTAAACTCTTCAATATTCACAAAGTCATTACTTTCGTTTTTCCTCAGAGGAGTTGGCCAAAAGCTCTGACATCTGACCACAAAATTTCAGCTATGATTTAATTTCCAACTTAAAACCTAATACTGGTTCAGGAAAAAATGGTCCGAGACAGTGTAACGCAAATCAAATCCCTCTGGCACTCAAAAAGCAAGCAGCTTTGGCTGTAGAAGATACCACCACAAGTCTTAATCCTGTGGCTCATGTACTCAAATTCCAAGTTTCCAACCACCCTCACTGCTGGGTAAAGTAACAGGAAGACAACGATTTAGCCACACCAGTCAGGAAGTAAATGCTGCATACAACATACTTTTGAAGAGAACTTCTCTCAGACTTAGAATATCTGCCTAATAACAAAAATACCGAAGGGCAATCTGCTGGTCAGCTATGGTCCAGAAAGTTGCAAAAGAGCAAATTAAAATTATTAAATTCCAAAATCACTTGAATCCAAAAAGAACATGACCTGAGAGTGTTCGCAAGCTCCAGTACAGCACCAAAGCAGCAGCAGCAGACACTCAATAGCTTTCTGTTAAAATCTCATCCTAACTCATGCTGAAGAACACTTGCAGTGCTGCCAACCTTTGAAACTACTTCAGATCTCATGACCCTCGCAAAAATGCTTTTAAAAATCTCCAGAACCAGGCTTTAAATGAGAAACTCAGTTTCTGCATAGTTAATTGTTCTCTGCCTTTACGTTTGCTGAGAAACCCGTAATACGTGCCCTAATCACTTTCCACATTTAGTACCTAAAACAAAAATAAAAAGCAACACACTTTTTTTTTTTAAGACACCCCTGATCTCTTAAGTTAGTCATCTAATTTCTGGAGTCTACCTAGTTCTTTCTGTAATATTTCTGATTAAATAGTTATTATGCATCAGTATTATTAATCTGGCATGAGGGTGCAACCAAGGCCAAGCTACTGGTGAAAGGACATAGTGCTTGCAATTCTGGTCTCATCCACTAGATGTCTTGTACAGACTTCAACATCTCAGTCACTTAGTGAGATCACCTATTGAAGATAATTGCATTAGGCAGGTCTCTGTATTTTTAACCAAATAACAATACAAAATACAAAAAAGAATACAAAAAACTTAACATTCAGAAGTTTTTTTCAGAAGAAAACTTAAAGTGCAACATCCTTCCTGGCACAGTTCTTTTCATTTACAATCAGATAAAAGTTCAGCCTATCTTTGAATATACTCATCTCCCCCAACTACTTTTAAATACCTTGATACATCGGAGTATGACCACTCTTAAAATAGAGTTTAGCAACACTTTCCCAGATTTTCTTACATCTGAAGAGATAATGTTTTAAGGAAACACTGGGGAAAAAAATGAAAAATGGAGTATTGTGATAGTCAACCAAGCTGAGAAGTATTACAAAATACATAGTTCTGGAAAATTAAGCATTTGCATTTACTTCCTGAAGAGCACTATTCTATACCATCTCAGGCAAATTATATTTGACATCCATGTTTTGAGATCAACTGCTTGCAGAACTTACTTTCAAATTAAGAAAAAAAATTTAAAAAAAACACCCACACACCAAAATTTAGAAGTCAAAGGTTAGCTAAACTCCAGTAAAACTCCCAGCATGTCAATCACTGCTTTTCCCGGATCTCCCTCTGGAGCAATGCCAAGAACATGACAATCAGCAAGCTTAAAGTCTACGAGTGCTCCAGAGCCATTCTACCTGGTCTTCAGGCAAGAACATGTCAGATAGACTGCACTGATAGCCAAATAATAGCTATGCTTATGATTAAAAAAAAAGACAAATATTCACAGCATTGTTATCAGCAGCCTTGTAAATTAACTGTGTGGCTTTTCCGACCCAAAAGGATCACATCCATTTATTTTTTTAATTAGGAAAAAAAATACTCCAGCATCCTTTAATGCAAACTTTTACACTCTGGCCATCTTCTACTCAGAATTGCCAAGCCACAGGAAGGAGGGCAAAATAGATTGGGTTATCTGGGTTGACCTATAGAAGGGTGACACCCTTGTTTTGGGCACCACTCATGAGCCAGTCACAGGCTCAAGGACAAGTCGGCATATCACAGAAAAGACACATCTCTATTTTACTTCTTCCTCCTACTTGTGCAGCAGTGGCACTACATTTCAACGAAACAAGCACAATTCAGAAGTTTAAGCAGCATAAGCATGTGAACAGCCATTCTCTGCACCAAGGAAAAGTTAGTGGACCAGATGGAAATCCCAGAAAGCCAGATCGTAGCCGCAAGCAAGCATTATTTCTTTTCCAACATGGTGCTATTTCATCAGTTGACTGCATGAACAATAATCCAAAAGAAAAGGAGTCAAACTACACCTAGTGCGGCCACTGCTTTGCTGATAAAAATATTTTTAGGAGCCAAAAACTCATCGCCTGCTGAAGGCACTATCCTCAAGAGCAGCAAAGTTACAATCTCAGGATCCTGCATATCCCACTGCTACTTATAAGAACAGCTTGCTTTTCTTCAGTGAAACAGAATTGCTAGCAAGTCCTCTCTCCCAGAATTTGAAGACTTGCAGTATTCGTCTTCAGATTAAGTTCTTCTGATGCGATTTTCTTATAGTAAATTGGTAACAAAGCTAGGCCCAAATATGATGAAAATATTAATTCTGACATATCAATGTAAGTTCATGGATGCATTCTTAAACATTTTTATGAAGACCTGAATCGTGTATATTCCTGTACATCATATACAAAAAGTAATATTCAGAATCTTTAAAAAGTAATACCCCCTCATTACGTAAGATGGGATTACTAGAGCAGAAACTGTTACAGTCTAAACTCAGCGTTGCTTAAACGCTAACGTTTTAAGTCACTATCAGATTTCATAAGTGATTTCTATCTGAGATCAAAACCAATTTAGTTTGATTATAGGGTGTGGAAAAAATGTATTTTCCTCATAGTAAGATTTTTCATAACTTCTCACTTCTACTCCTCTGCTGTGGCAATCTGCCACAGTAGACAAAGAAAAGCACTTGGTAAGGACTGCTAAAGTGTTCAAGGAAAAAAAATTGTTTCAACCTGCCTGAATTCAGAACATGAGGCACACAATATATATTTTTCCACTCATTTCAAGTGCACAGCTAAGTCCAGAACTTTACTTTAAGAATGCAAGTATGGCCACATTGCATAAAACCAACGTCCATCTAGCTCTGGATTCTGTCTCTACCGAGGGCCTACAACAGATGGCTAGGGGAATAACATAAGAACAGGGCACGCATATATTGATACTCCCTCCAATATATACATTTCTCCATCTCCATTTGTAGCTCAGCAAATTCTTAAGCCAGAGATTGCATCTTTGTATTTTTATAATACTCAGTGACTCCTATGAGCATCTACACCAATCCTGTCTTTCCAGATTATAGAAACCATGCAAGTTATTATCGCTTTCTGCAAGGCCACAGAGAAATCCAGGTACTAGAAGATGAAGTGCTCTCTTGATCTTAAAAGAAAATTGTAAGCAAAAAAGTAGCATTGCATCCAAAGTCCAGAGAGTGACAGAGTTATATATATCCAATTCGTAGTGTTGCAATGTATGTCTTAATTAGTCTTTTTTAAAAAGAATGCATTACATATTTATTGCACAAATTAGTTATATTTATATATAAAAACTCTGTAAAGCCATTCTCTTGCCTATATGCTTCATGCCTTTGTCCTTATTGCTTATTGTACCCTCATAAAAACTAATGACTTGGTAAAGTCAGAGTGAATCAGTATTAAAAGGACAGATTCCTGATTCAGTACCTTGTGCTCTGACCACGAAACCACACTGCAACTTTCCCACTGTAAAATCCAGCCAACAATTCTCCCAAATTTCCTGGGAAAATTTCCACTTTTTTAAAGGAAAATAGGGTCACCAAATTTCTTAATTTCTTCATTTACTTACTTACCTGACATGCTGGGGAAAAAAAAAAACACCACCAAAAAAAAAGTGCAGCCTCTACCAATGAAAAAAAAGCACTTCTCATCCAAAATTTTTGTGTATTTTGTGTTTAAAGCACCTGACACAAGACAGTCCAACCTATCTGTGACTTTTGACTTCTAGGTGTGATGTGCAACTGCAGTAAAATATATTAAACAAGTTACCTCTGTGAGGGATCCACAGGGCACTCCACCATGCAAGACTTTATCCAAACTATGCAGCGTGGTGGATAAAAAGGCTGAAGAGGGATTGACAGACTTCCTCAGTTTCATTTCATAAGCCTACAAAAGGAGGAAAAAAAGCAAAAGAAAACAAGCACACAAATCAGTAAATGCCTTTTTTTTTTTTTTTTTTAATGGAAATAGCAAGCTTCTCGCACTTGCTTTCATCAACCTGGAACAACTCAACACTTGCCAATGAGCAAACGATTCCTATCTTCAGCTATAGTCCTCTCTTAGCTCATCACCCTTCCTCGCATTTATATACCATTTATAGCTCACAGAGTAAATTTAAAAGTTTGTTGTACCTCCTTCACCACAATATTAAATAATAAGCCTTTAATAACGATGTGTCAAAGGTTTTCTCTGCTCCTCTTCAACAAGGCTTGCTTTCAACCTGTAAAACTTTTAAATAAGTAAACACTGTATTTACAGTTAGTGACCAATACAGAACACTTACATGAAACCTAAAACCAAGAACTCCCTGGCCAACATTCATTACCAATTTGAAACTGCCTGGGTTGAAGGAAAGGTTTGCTAAAGATTCCCAAGTCTTTGAACAGGTCTGGGCTGATCCTATAGTCATCCATAATTTTCCAATTCTGTGAGTAAGACTAGTCAAGCAGAAAGGACAGGTACAGAACTGAAAATAGTTGAATTCCTAGTTCCTCCACTGACTAGAGGAACTGGCCCAAGATCAGAATTCTAGTTCATAAGAATTATTTTCATTTGTGGAATCAATTTAAACCAAAGAAGAAATAACAAAATGGAAACGCTGATCTGGAAACACCAAAACATAATGTTTCCAAAAGAAAGAGGGCTTGCTCACACCTTGCAGACATCTGTTAAAACTGACACATTCCTCAGCCACTGAGCATTCTGAACATCAGAAGTTTGATTTTTAAAAGGAACAGCCCAAGATCTAAAGGTTGTTGCTCTAGTTATAGTTAAGAGTTCCTAGAGGTTTCAGACTCCTGGCCCAACAACAGAGATTCTTGAAGCCCTGTCACAACGTACCGCCATAACCTGCCACGATTGACCACTCCAGAAAACCTGATTTCTCTATGCCTGAGAAATGCAGGCATCAGATTTATCCCAGTCTTAAGAGTCTGCTGGGAATATGGTGTACTATGGAAGCACCTCCACAGGAATCATCCATAACTAAGTAAATAACCACACCATTGCATCCTAGGTGTTTTAGTCCATACTTGTCGGCCAACAAGTGAGTATTTTTGGCTGAAGTTGATCAGAAGAATTTCCAGCTAATTCTACCAGCAGGCTAAGATAAGACAGCTTTTACCTTCCTTTTTTTATGCTACAGTTCTTCCCTATGTTATGACAGGTAGCATATTACAATAGTATTTGAAATTCATTCAGACCTTCTCTGTTCTTCAGTTCTATTGAGGAGAAATATACAAAAAATAGCTTTCAAGACACAGAACAGACCAATAAAAAACAATGAATTTTACCTCACTCAAATGGAATCGGAGTTTATGCTCAAATACATGACTTTATGAACAAGGATTTGCAACATATTTTAATTTAATCATTTTTTGTTTAATCTCTGACAGGACTTAAACCCTGTAGACCGGAAACAAACCCTGTAGACCATGGAAACAATATTCTAGTCTAGCTTTCCTGCCTAACATGGACTCTAAAATTTTACCCAGTGATTTCTGTATTTAATCCACGAAATTAGGATTGAACCAGACTTCAAGTAAAAAAAAATAATTCAATTGTTAAATCAGGAGTCCAAGTAAATGAAAAAGTACCACATCCTTAGACAACCTCTTCCAATGGTAACTTATGTTACTTTCTAAAGATTTTCTTATTACTTCCCATTTCAGAGATTTTTTTTTTAATTTATCTTACAGCCACTGGATCTTGTTCAGCTTTTTGTTCAGCTAGACTCTAGAGACCTCTAATATAATTATCTTTTTCTACTCAGCATATGTGATCAAGTCACCCCTTAACTAACTTCCTCTCTGATGAGCTCAGTAGGCTTCATTCTGTACGGCAAGTTTTCCAGAAATTAGAGTTTTACTGTATATCTTGGCATACTCTCAAGTTTTGCTGCCAGTGCTTCCAGTGTTATATCTGGACAGTATTTTCCCCTTATTTGTAACTCCTATTATCTAATTTTTTTTTTTTTTTTTACTCAAAGATATTGTCAAACCTTCTTGCTACATCAGTCATGATGTTACATCAGTCACCCTGACCTGAAGTCCATTTGAAATCCTGTGTTTGCAAAGATTCAATCCTCATCCCTTAGAAATAGCTAACATCCTCTGTTTCTGGAAGTACAGCCTCCAGAAGTGCATACAGTATTGTATGCACTTACATAGTTGGTGATCTATCAGCTGGCTCTGTATTAACAGACCTTGACAACTGCTGTCTGACAAACTTCAGTTATCTGCCTCAGCAAAGAAATTTGACTGAATAGCGATGTGTGGATGACAGGCAAAAGCAAATGCTACAACTCTACTTAAAACTTCCATCTGTCTTCAATTTATTGATTACTAACAGTGATTCATGGAAGACTAGTTTTTAATCCATTCAGTGTAAGTCATATTAATTCTGCATATCACTAACTTTAATGCAGTATGTTTGTGAATTTAGTTTCACAGAGTTACTGCTACAATTACTATGCCAATTACATATAATAAAATTTGTCATGGCTTTTTTTTTTTTTTTTTCCAGAAAAAAAAGCAGGCTGCATTGACACAGGTCAGACCTGTCCATGTCCTCTTTGTTCTAAAAAGACACCATTTTTGACATCTTTTCACCTGAATTCAAAAAAGACGACAAAATCCAGCCACTGCACTGCAGCTAACATCTGTTTCCTTCTTGCACTCTCCCCAGTTAGGCTACCTGTAGCTCAAACCACACTACAGATCATTTACATGGATGGAAAAAATCCTCAAGGAGGATCACTTCACTTCTTGGCACCAATTTCATGTCTAAAACCAATGTATATTGAAATTCTTATTCTTTGCTTGTATTAAACAATGCCTTTTTTTTTTTTTTTTGCAGGGTCCAAATTAGAAGCAATTTTTATATGCTGGATTGTAAGAGAGAATGCCGAATTTCCCTACTGCACTCAGAACTGATTCTGCAAGCCTGAACAATCTCTTGAGGCCATAATGCCTAATAAAGTTACCGCATCAAACTAAAGAGCCTCAGAGATCTAAATTTAAAAATAAAAGTATTATTTCATTGTGCAATCAAATGGAGATATCACAAACCTCCCAGGTAACAAGATGACACTGTTTAGCTTTTTCCCAGATATTGTATCAAAAACAGAATCAACACAAGCATACTTACTGTCTGCATTTTGGGAGCACAAGCTCGGCTGACTTTACAAAGAAGCTTCTGCACATCATAGTAGCTCTGTCCCGTCACTTTCATTAGCTCCAAGAGGGAAAGACATAAAAAGTCCTGAAAGATGATAGAACAGTTCAGAGAGCTCAACCTAGAAATCAAGACTGGGGACTAAAGTGATGCAATTTATACACAACTAGTATACATTCCACAAGTTTACCAACTGTGCCATGTTATACACTTCTATGCTATACCTCTCCTACCTTTCTCTGATACCAGTATATTAAAAAAAAAATTGTATTCATATTTTAAAGTGCATGGAGTCAAAGAACAAAACATTCATGAACTGTGTGATGGAATTGCAACAAGATAACACCTTTTTGCCCACAAAAGTCTCTTATCTACCTGAAAAACACTCAAAATACATCATGTCTTCTAGATTGCAGTCCTGGGACTGGATCCTGTATTTATGATGCACACTACTGAAATATATAGGGCCTCTTGGCTCTCTTTAGGCGAGCATTCATATAAACAACTTCAGAACATACTGCTGAATCAACCCAGAACTGATAGTGCAACATCACAGCACGTTCACACACCGGATTATGTAGTACACATATGTTTTTGTGAAGTGTTCACAAATGGATGTCTTACTCCATACAAGTAGTAGTACACGGCACACTCCTGCTAAAAGAACTCAGGTTCTTTAGAAGTGAAGGTAGTAAGTACACACAGGTTTAAATGTTTTAGTTAGGCATCTATCGTTTGAAAGCTGTATTTTTACAAGGCAGCAGGCCAGATGGAGCCTGAAATGCCCCCTACCGTATAGAAAGTAAAGCTCTCTGCAAATTAAACTACAAAAAAGTAAACAGTACATGCATTAAAACACACCACACCCCCCACACCCCCCAAAAAAACCCCAAAAACCAACCCCCAAAAAACACCCCCCACAAACATAAAATAACCCTTTCACCTGACAGGTAGTGATCTGATGGCGACTCAGCCTTTCACACAGCTCCTGAGACAACCTTGCTCTTCTTAGTTTCTTAGCAGCCATGGTCCTCAATCTACAGGGCAAACAAAAAAAACTTTTGAAAGATGCTTGGAATATGACTATGCGGACAATTATACTCACTCCTTGCTAAAGAACGGGAAAGTGTGTGCACGTGTGTGTGTGTGTGTGTATATTATATATAAAAAATTTCCTGTGATACAGACTTCCCATATAAGTCTATGCGACATTAAATTATATTAGCACTCTGAAAGCAGTTATGTTAAATTATATCTCCTCATATTTGACCGTGTATGAGATCATGTCAGTGAGAACAGAAGAGTCAGCAGTGTTTATAGGACAGATGTTTCTGGGACATAAGAAAGCTGGAAATTACTCAGTGGTGAACTGAACAAGAACCCAAGCTATACTTCACTGGAAAGAAATAAGGTTATCTTTGGATGCCTAAACACGAATAGTAGAGTAATCACAGTAAGTATTTAGCCCTAGAACATATACTGCTAGAACAAAACACTCGATTCTGGTGACCCAGGATTCATGACAAATGTTGAAAGAACAGGAAGGACCCAGAAAGGAGACACTAGAAAGACTGAAGGGCCGGAAACATAATTTAGTATGCAAGACTCAAGTAGTCAAACCAGTCAAACCCACCTCATAACATTCTATGTAACAATTTATGAAACAAACACAGATAATAAAGCATTCTTTAATTTAGGCAACAGTGTAAAAGAAACCAGAGGCCAAAACTAAGCGTATGAAGACAAGAACTACAATGTAAATATTTTATTCTAAAAGTGAACAAAAATACCATTGGACCAAGGCAGCAAGAACTGTGGTATAATCAGTCACTTATTTATTGAGATTCAATCATTGTATTTATTGGGATTCCTGCTTAAAGAGTACCTGGTTATTTCAGATAAGCCTTAAGACTATTTTACGTAGCAGATAAGATTACACTGCCACTATGAATCCTTCTCCCCTTAGCCCTCAGCTATTTGCATTTGTCCCTTTTTTTTTGTCATTCCATTCTACTGAACAAAACTCCACAGGATGGTATTCAGCTCAGTACAACCTAAAGCATACGTGTTTTCCTAACCTATACGTATGTTTGGGCACATAGCCATTTCACACATATTATTTAGGCAATATTCCTAGTATTTATTTAGCCAGATGTTTAGGCAAAATAAAAAGGTTTTCAAATAATGCGAAATTGCTACAACTTTTGCAGATGCACAGGCCTCTGCATCTTCACAAGATGGAAACTTTACTGCCCCCTCTACAAAATCCTCTTTAGACAGGAGGAAAATCAAACGTTTGAAGAGTTCAGTGTCCTTCAAGCTACCAGCGGTATTAACAACCACTCATCACACAAACTGCACACTCTGCCTCGAGCATTACGGTGGTTTCTGGTTCTGCACATACCCCACATACCGCTGCAGCTGAACAAACGCCCAGGCACAACCTCTGGTAACTGATTTTGTGACTGACGCCATCACAGGGGACGCCCGCAGGAGCGCTGCCTGCGCCCTCTCGGTGGTCCCGGGCCGGGCCGGCGGACCAGGACGCCCGTGAGGGGCAGAAATACAGACATATACCGGCACGGACTTACACCAGGTGTCACAGGTGCTGCAGGAGAGCTTGACATTATCACTTCATCTGGAATGCGAAGATGAACTTACGACCCCAACACCTGAAGGCCAGCAGCAGCTGCGCTGCGGCGCCACAGGGCTCCCCTCCCGACGACCAGCCCAGGGGTCTCAGGCGCCCGC